TGTGTGTGTGTGTGTCCAGGTGATAAGCATCCCAGCTGGCGGGTCTCTGATGGACTCCACCACGCCGATGGATTTCCTTCCTGGTTTCAACCTAGAGGGATTTCCAAACCGAGACAGCACCAAGTATGCTGAGCCCTATGGAATCCAGTCAGCACACACACTGATCAGAGGAACACTGCGCTTCAAGGTACAGTACACGCACGCACACACACACACAGACCATTTTACTATAAAACATTTCAGCTTTACTTAGTTAACCTTCTTGTTGTCTGCTACGAGTAGAAATGCGTGGAAATCTGAAAAATAGTGAGTAATGGCCATCACCAGTTATCACAGCTCAAGTCGTTGCCTTAAAATGATTTGTCTGAGAAAAGCAGCAAATTCTTTCACTAAAGTAACGTTTGGAATTTTTGCTTGAAGAATTACTTAATTATCAAAATAGCTGAAGATAAATTTTCAGTTAATCATTAAATTGAGTAATTCTTTCCAGAAAGCGGGTTTATTCCATGTGAGCTGGAGAAAAAAAAGACTGCATGACTTTTTGGATTTGAAATCAAGAAGAAATAAGCACCTTACTTACAGGCTTTGTATCTAGACAGAAATAAGGTTGTGGACCTCTCTAATACAAATACATTATGTAGAATATGAGTTCACCGAGTCAAGATCATGTCTGCAACTCTCATGATAATGTCATATTCAAAAAAACATTTTCCTCTTCCACAAACCTGATTTCTTGAATGTTATGTAAACCAGAAACCCTTTATCTTCACGACGTGTTCAGGGATTAATCCTTGGGTTATTTTGTGAAAAATTTAATTAAATTTCTTATTTTATTTTGTGGAGATCAAAGACATAAAGAAGATCTGAAAGAATTTACAGCCGTGGCCTGTTTCCCATTAATGCACGCTAACTGACGCTGACTCCTCATACTGACACATGTAGACTTCCGTACCCTGATTATTTCCTGTGTTTGAGTGTGTGAGCCATAGGCTGCAATTGGCGTGATGTTGTCAGTGTGTGTTGTGCTATGAGGGTGACGTTTTACTGCCAGCCATCCTCAAGTGCAGAAGATGAAGAAAAAGTGCCAAGAAAGAGGCACGTAGTGGCTAAGCAGCGACAAGAAATATAAATAAAACAAACAGATTTGAAATTATATTAAACATTATCAAACACACACATCGCTTTTTATTTATTTTTCTAAGTCGTGTTTTTTTTACACTTCAGGGAATATAAATCAAACTGGTGTTGGGTTGTTCATTTTAAGAATGTAAGAATGTATTTTATCTATCCATGGGTTAGTACTAAAGATAGGTAATGTAGATTTGTTGTGATCATAGGTATATCATCTCTCCAACAGGGTTTTAACCTTTTTATATTTACTGTCAATGGTTTTAACAGGTGAGCTTGTGCAGACTAAAACCATTAGTGTAAATGTGCCTCCTTGTAATTTCAAAGTCCAAATCAAACAGTAACTACACTATTCTATATAGAGGATTTTATGTCTCTGAATAGTTGAATAGCTCTGAAATTCAGACAAATGCACAGTAGAAGCAAAAATATTTTCCTCCCTGAACTTGATTTCTCCCAGTATCTTTTGTTTCTCGTGTCAATGTTAATGTGTTCATTTGTGACTCAGATAGCTCTTGTTCTGTCCCATAGGGCTTCTCGAAGGCCATGAGTGGGTTTGTCAAACTGGGTCTGATCAATAGCGAGGCCTGTCCGATCCTGCACCACACTTCATCTCATGTTTCCTGGGTAAGAACCTCCACTGAGGGTCCATTCAGTGTAGTAAAAAAAAAAAAAAGAGCTGAAAACACATGTTGAAAGGCAGCCTCCGAGTAGTGCCTCCTGTTTCTTTCTCCAGTCTGTTTTGCAGCTCTTTCAGTTTGAAGTGTCTGACCGTAGAAGTGGGATTGCTGAAGAGTGTATTACTGTCAATAGCTGCTTGTCAACATCAAGGCTGCAGTGAGCCAAGGCTTTCTGACACTGATGAGAATTTATAGACAATCTTTTGTCTTTATCTTCTTCTATCTTTTTGAGACGAAAGAGAAAAACAGAGCTGCATGTTCAGAATGTGTTTATCACCAATCAAAGCAAGAAATGTATCGATCCCTCCAGTTATATCTGAAAACACTCAAAAACTTTTTTTTTTCCTTTTTTTTTATCTGGGAACCAGATGCAAAAAAGGAATGGATAAATACCCTAGAGCCCCCTCAAAGGTTAATGTAGCCACAAGTGTCTAATCTCCATATAAAAAGAGGAGATCGATATCCCCACCCACAATGATTGTGTCAAAGGCTGTATTAGGGTCTAGGAGTACAAGGACTGGGTACATGCCATCAGCAGCAGCCACTGTTAAAAACAGAAAGCAAACGGGGCCTGACAGATTCCATTACTTTTAGTAAAACACACATTCATGTGAATGGTAAATGAACCTGTACTTGTATCAGGCGCCTTTCTTTTTATACTAACATGCCAGCAATTCATCTTTTCACCACACATTCACTCAGTGATTGGCAAAGCCCATCCGATAGGAAACTAATGCATGTCAATACACATTCACCAACGATCGCACAGGCATAGGAGCAATTTGGGGTTCAGGTGTCTTGCCTCAAGGAAACTTCGACAGGTGGGGGGAGGAGCGTGGGGATCGAACCGAA